GCACTGGCTCTACAGTCTGCTCATTGTCAAGGCTATGACATTCCTCTTTAACCTATCTCTCCCTTCAGCTACGTCACCTCTGTATGACTAAATTGGATTTTGTTTCATTTGTTTTCATTCCAACCCTCATCTGAAGTCCCAGCACAGTAGAAAGATGTGCATCATCACTGTAGCATATCATGTAGAGCATGACTCATGGTTTTCTAGTTCAGTCGTCTTCTGGACCTCTCAGCATCGGTAGCACCCACACTGAGCCTCTTTGAATAAAGTTTCACCCATCTCGTCTGTGAAACAAGCCAGCCCGACCTATCTGTGCCGCCATACGGGAGCCCTGCATGACAATGTGGGCATGACCCCGGCCCCTTGCTGTTGATTCAGGGAAAGTTTAAGCGGCTGGTGCGTCTGCACTACTGCCTGGAAGTTGGTGAACATTTATCCTTAGTGCATCAGTCATTTAGGCCATTAGCATAACTAAATTCCCTCATTTCCCTACTTAAATGATGTGAAATGCATTTTGGTTGTAGTAGTTTATTAACAATTTGTTGAAGTATTGAACCACATCATCTGCTCATACAAGTTGCATTTGTGACAAAAGCGCCATCCAGTGGTGGATCCTACACTTGATGAGAACAAATTCAGACCTAACCATGCCTATGTTTCCAGACACCAGATGAATACTGCCTGATGTGGGTGTCTGCAGACCTCATCTCCTTTGCTGTAGTCATAGGAATATTCATTTTCCAGAAGTAAGTACATTCATTCTATGATGCAACTGTAGCCAAGTCATTTAAGTGTTTGCTTACGCACGAGTTAGTGTCTCCGTTTTTCTGCCGGCATATGAAGACGAAAGTAAATAATGCTCTTTTCTTGGGGTGTATGTGTGTGTGTGGGTGGGTGTGTCATGTTGTGCTCTTTCATGCCCCAAACACACATGAGCCCATATCAGTAATTGCTGCCTATTAGCAGGCACCCCTTCACTTAACCGTCTTGTTCGGTGCAGGCACCTCTGTCTGGAACACTTCATTCATATTTCAGCTCATCCATAATTATGTAGTTCCTTCCTGTTTTAATTACTTTTTAATGCTTTTGCCTGTACTGACCTTCAAATTAAAGGCTGGATAGAATACATAATTAGATGTGTAGGAAAAATTTTATGTGGTTTTATAATATGTTATGGTCTTTTTCTGCATCACAGACAGCAGTGACGGAGAGGATGTACTTTGTATGAACATGTTTTCTTTCAGCTAAACACTTCAGTGTTTCTGTTCTTGTTGGAGAATGTGGTTTAGTTTGAGACAGACGGCTCTGGGAGGGAGGGCAGTTGTCAGTTGTTTGTTTTCACAGTCCAGTGTAGGTTTGCTCTTAGCTGAGCTCTTCAGTAGCTTCTGTTGGCTTCTAAACTGACCTTTCTTGTCTCCTGCCTTCTTTTGTCCTTTGTTTGTCCTTCCACCTCTCCTTCCTTGTCCTCTCTCCTCTGCCTGATGTGCATGCTCTCCTCCTCTGCTGCATTCTGGCATCTTCTCTCAGCTATCACATGATCAGGTAACCGGGTCACCTCTTCTGACCCACAGTCTTCTCTCTTTTCACCCTCGTTCTATCTTTATCTAACATTTTTTTTATTCGATGCATTGTTTGCCCTCTTTCTGTTTTTTCCATTTTCTCTACTTTTTGTGACTCCTTATAATGACACTTTTTTGTTCACCTTTTACGATCTTTCTACATTTTCCCCCCCTCTCTCTCACTTGTCTCTGTCTCACCTGAATCATTGTACTGCACTGCTCCTTAGTCTGGTTTACACTAAATCATGTCACTTAATTTAATTAAAGCTGGGGTCTTTTCACATATGGATTCTTTAGACTGGCTTGATACATAGATTCTAGAAAGCTAGGGACTGATCTCCTGTGCAGCTAAAACATGATTCATTCAGAATGTATTTTAAATAGACAATGCAGGAAAAATACCAAATTAAATTAATTTAACACCAGTTCTACTAATTTACTAATGCTCAACTATAAGCCATTATTAATAAGAACAGTTTTGAAAAATCCCTTCGAGTGTCTGGACTGTATGATCACTACCTTCTAAAAAAGGGGCAGCAGAGGATCTGGCTCTAAATCAATTCATTAGAAAATTATTCAGCATTTATTAAAGGTTTGCCTACTACTTTATTACTAAATAAGCCAAGTGGACCCCACATTCCTTTTCCATTAAAATGGTCTTCAGCTGATTTATAATTGGTAAAGAATTGATTAATTGGTTACTTACAACTAAGGCCACGTTCACACTGCAGGCTGAAGTGGCTCAAATCCGATCTTTTTGCCAAAATGTGACCCATATCGGATTTCTTTATGACAGTGTGAACAGTACAAATCCGATTTTTTTTTTCAAATCTGGCCCAGGCCACTGTCATATGTGGTCCTAAATCGGATACATATCCGATGTTTTGCAATACGACTTCAATCTGAACGGCCATGTCGCATTTCATCTAATTTTTATGTCATTGAAATGCGACAGATGTCACAATTCTGCGCTGGAGGAGGCGAGGCCATAAGCAATATTTGTGCTCTCCTCCTTCTCGATATTCTTCTTATTATTATTTCTTTATTTCGACTGCACATTAACTGGTACATCGCTACGCACATGCTATCACGAGCCGCATCCATTTTTATTTTCGCAAACACAGTACGCTGCGTCTGATGTCACGTCCTCTTCTGTGCATGCGGGTCACCTCAGGGCCGTATACCGTTCACACATGAGACAGATGGCAGTCGCATTTAAACGAGTGTGAACAACAGCGCAAAAAAAATCGGATTTCGGCAAAAAATCCGATCTGAGCATTAAGACCTGCAGTGTGAACGTAGTCTAATACAGTGAAGTCTTTATATATATGGTCTTATTAGAAAGTGGTATCTATTCTTTTATGTCTAAATCGGCTACATTTAATTTTGAGAGCAAGTTGCCTTTATAACAAACTGTCAAATATCCTATGCATTGAGGAATCAGTTTTTCCCCCCATTAAACTAACTTCATAGTTCTAAAAATAAAATACTATCCCCTACAGACCTAAAGTTGACCCTACTATTATTGTGAGCAAAGGCAGCAGTGTTGAGTGATTTCTAACTTCCCATGTGACCCTCCCCCCCACAGGTATCGAATGAGCGGTATGCGTGGCTACAACCCTGAACAGATCATGCTGAGTGCCACAGTCAGGAGATCCAGTCGAGACATCAACATCATGAAGGAGAAACTTATCTTCTCTGGTATGGCCCACATATTGAGATGATGTACATGTTTTCCAGCCATCATCTTGTAGTGTGTTCTGGTTGTTTTTATTTCTCTGGCCTCCTGAACTTAAAACCAAATCCGTCTCTTTGCATTTATCATTGATTTACTGGCTTACAAAAAGAAACTTTTAACTTAAGGAATAAGCCATTTTTGAGTTTCAAGAGCCCAGCCAACATGCCACTCCATCCCAGCATGCATCTCTCTGAGCATTTGCGAATGTTGTTGCTCCTTCTCTTCCTCTCTCCCATGAAGGTCAACCCCAGTACCCGCCTGCCACCTTGATCCTTCATGTGTGATGTGCACCACCTCTTCTCCATCTCCTCCACCAGCAGTGACTTTTTCCTTAGTTCCATCCGCCCATTGTATCCCTCATTACCTGCCTGCTTTTCCCTACTCTCCTTCACCCACTCATGCACCAAACCTTCCCCACACTCCTCCCAGTAGACAATGCCATGTGTAGGGGAGCTTATGTATGCCCCAGATGTCTAGGCAGCCTGTAGTAGTGGGGGTCAAAGGTAAGTCATGCCAGTGTAAGCTGTTCTCACTGTTATTCTATCTTATTTTTGCTCATTTTATTTTCTTATTGACTGAAGGAATAAGTGTTATGATGCAGACTGGTTTTAAATTGTTGTATGATGGTCAACTGACTTTTCCTTTATCCTTTGGCGCCCTCAAGAGGTGAGCAATGGAGTTGGCGGTGCTGAGGAGCTATATGCAGACAATGACTACGAGTACTACACCAATCGGGGCATCAGCCATTGATTTGGACTCAGGGAGTCTTCTGACGTGAGATGGAGACGACAGCACTCAGAACTCCCACCATTCCTGTTGGTCAGTGTGAAGTCCTCTGTCCTACTGATTAACTGACAGAAAAGAGCCACCCAGCCGCTTTGTGTACATTCTGTAAACGGTTTTTGTTTTTGTTTTGTTTTTTTTTGCTTATCAGTGTATATCACACAGGGCTACACGCACTTTTATTGATGGAATTCGCCAAATCCGTGGCCTACTCTCATCTAAATACTGAGAGGCCCCTCGGAGTTCCCACTGCCTGCTACTTTTTAAAAATAGGTTTCCAAATTCTTTAAGCTAATTCTCCAAAGCTGTTTTCATTTGTAAGCACTGTAAATTACATTCCACTCTTTGAATTTCTTTTTAGCAAGGCTTTTTAAAGGTTTTATTGTTGTATGAGCCAACTAGCTAACAGTTAATTATGCTCTGGCCTAATATTTAAAGAGGGAAAAAAAACAGATGTTTACAGAAGTCCTGCCTCTTCCATGTGAAATATTCACATGGTATATGTAAGATAATTATTTTAATAGAGGCTGAATGACAACCCCACCTATTTTTAACCAGTGCATGTAACAGTATTGATTATATCAGATGACTTGAGTGAGCTGTGGAACCGGAACTGGTGAAAATGGTTTGGAGTCTTTTAATGGTTAATGTGAATGTGTTTTGGATTGTTTTTGTTTGTTTTTAAGATGTGTATGGTATATACTGTATGTATCCTGGCTGGGTATAGTTTGCCCTGTGTGCAGTGTTATGTAGTGTTATTGTACATACAAGGTGAATCAATGGGCGATGGTCCAGCCAACTGAGAATTACATTTGAACACTGACATAATTGCAGTAGCAACAGTCTGATATTGGCAGTCATTTCATTTCCTCCACAGCCTCTGGGTTGTACGTAGTTAAGTTCTGCAATATTTTACAAACAAAAAGCATATAAACATTGGTTTCTGGTATAAAACTGAATGCTGGAAGATGAATGAAATGTGAAAGTAAAGCTCCAAACTAACTGAAGGGATATTACAGGCAGCACAAGCTGAGATGTTGCTTTGTTTTGTTTTCCTTTGGGTATTACTGTACTTCTGAAGTAAACATTAAAATCTTGTAATCCAGGCACTTTCTAATCATGCTTGTTCTTATTCTGATCTATTTAGTTTCAAATTAAAGGAAGATGGAAGTTAATATGGACCTGGAGGATCTTGATGTGACCTGTAATGGTTGTGTGAAGTACCTTGCACAGGAATATGTGGGCCAGCAGGTGGAAATAGTTTGACGCTTCCTCAAAATAAAGGATGACAAAGGCTGGGAAATTTCACTTTAATAAGCTGAGAACAGGTCATATTTTAGATTATCGTCATTTTTATGTGGGTAGACTGAGTAAAACTAGCAATACAAAAATAGATTTTCTATTTCAAAAGGGACAAACAATTCATACAGTACCAAAGGCAAACAGTGTAGCCTCACAGTTCATCATATTTGATGAAGATCTTAGTTTTATAGCAAGCAACACATAGTGGTGGGTGGGGGGGGTCGGGTCACTGCACCTAGGAATCATTGTTTGGCATAAATATCAAGCTGTTATACTTTTGAAAGGAATGTGGGTAGCCTTGAGCTCTTGGTTGGAAAATGTTAACGGACAAACTGACTGAAATACAGTTCTAGGTTTTTGTTTTGTAAAGAAACAGCATTTGACTTTCATACTGGATATACAATAACTGTTCACAGGAACAAGCTGGAGAAACTAGTTTAGTCACACTAATGCTTAAAGTTTCAGGCACCTTGACAACCTGTATCAGATCCATAACACATCCTAGATGTGATGGTAATGCGTTTCTCAAAGCACCAGGAATACTTTGGTCCTTCTGTGGGACTACCAGTTGACCTTCTTGACATACAGTAGACTGTTCCAAACAAATGAGTGCACCACTGTCCAAAAGTGTACAGTTGGCCAGCCAGTGGCGGTCTTCAAAGTGCTTACTGAGCATATCTCAGTCTCTCTGAGGCAAACGGTTTGTATTTTCAAAGGGAGGGTGATTCTAATAATTTAAAGTTCTGTGTGGACATTAAGGCTTTCTCCAGCATGCACCTTCATCTGTGAGGTGGACACACTGCACCATACCAGGACCCCATTGTATATAAGGTGAGTAGTTTATATCGCATTGAATTTGTTTTAAATTAGTTGCGCATATCTGTATCTTTTCACTGAGGTGTCCGATCTGTCCCACTTACTTCCAGTGGACATAAACCCATCACAGTACCACAGGGACCTGGACGGAGACCTGTGCCTGAACCACTGGCTTGCAGCAGTTTGCTTCATTTCAAAAAACATAGCAGCTCTCTAAAAAGGCACAAGCACACAGTACAGTAACCTTTGATGGAAAGATGTATAAACACATTCACACTAACAGCCATACTGTTAATGGGAATAAATAAATAAATACATGTATTAACATACTGGCTAGTCTTTAAGTCCTTTAAACAAGTGGATGTTCCCTGAAGAGAACACCGTTTGTGTATCTACCACAATTAGCATCATGACTGAAGCTTGAATGGATCAGTAGACACATGACAGAGAAGCTTCATATTCACATTTCATTTGTATCTTGCTCTTATTTCTGCTGAAACCTGCACAACAGAAGCAGCTGTCAGTGAGACCAGAGCTATTTACTTATGCACATCTCATCAGTCTATAACCAAAGAAAATAAAATGTTCCCTTTTTCTCTTTTCACAAACAAGGAAGCATAACAGTTAAACTCTGAATGTCTTCTATGTCTTCATTGATGCAGCAGTGATTTTTTTTTTGTGCAGTTTGTTTTCCCACATCAGCAGACATTAAATTAAGAACATTAGAGAGGCATGAAACTAGTAGGAATCTGTGGCAAGTCTATGTGGCACCACTTCTACGGCAATAAATAACCTTGACAAAGATTAGCTGAAGTTTGTCTTGCGCAGGTGTCTGTTGGGGATTTCTATAGCGCTCACTTGTAAAGGCCAGGAGCCTCCCATTATGCCAGCCTGAATGGCCACACCTGTAACCACAGCCAGATCAGGGTCTACTGATGTATTGGGCTCTTTCCCAAAGTATTCGCTGATCAGCCTCCTGATCCGCGGTATCCTGGTGGACCCTCCGACCAGAACGACCTCATCCACGTTCTCCTTCTCCAGGTGACCTTCAGCCAACACAGTCTTGACAGGAGCCAGAATCTTCTGGAAAAGGTCCTCATTGAGTTCCTCAAACAGCTCGCGAGTGATCACATCCTGGAAAAGAACTGGAGCTGGAGCAGCACCTTCAGGTGTCCCCGAGCTGCTATGGGTCTGAAGGTGCAGGGGCACCCTGAGGGTGACACTGGGTTGGAGGGTAAGGTTGATCTTGGCAGCTTCCACAGCCTGTCGTAGATGGTAGATGTCCTCCTTTAGGGTGGGTGGGACACCAAACTCCTGTTGCACTCGCTTTATGGTGTACTGGAGCAACCTCTGGCTGAAGTCTTGGCCTCCTAGCTTGTTATTTCCTGCAAGGAATACCATCCACTTAATAATATTGAGTTTCAAATTGCTAAATTAAATCAGGTGATTGTCTGAGCAGATACCAGACACCAGGTTAATGTTATGACCCCATATTATTTTCACCTGTTAAATCCACTTTAATTGTGAGAACACAGAATAAAGGCACGTTTTAAGTTTCAAACTTCAGTGAGAACGACATAACAAAAGGTAAATCCCTTTTACAGG